GTTATATTTTTAAATCATTGCTTCTTTAATTAAATGAAAGTCTGCTGAGTGAGATGAATATATATGTAAAAACAGAATGCACGGAAGACGTGCGAGTTACAATTGAATTTGATGGAGAGTGGAAAAATTATCTAGGTTTAGCAAACATTGGTACAGGAGAAATTATCTAGGTTTCATAAACATCGGTGCTGGAAAAATTATCTAGGTTTCACAAACTTTGGTGCTGGAGAAATTATCTAGGTTTCACAAACATTGGTGCTGGAGAAATTATCTAGGTTACACAAACATTGATGCTGGAGAAATTATCTAGGTTTCACAAACATTGGTGCTGGAGAAATTATCTAGGTTTCAGAAACATTGGTGCTGGAGAAATTATCTAGGTTTCAGAAACATTGGTGCTGGAGAAATTATCTAGGTTTCAGAAAAATAAGTGTTGTATGATCAAGAATGCGCCGCAGAGAAGCAAGTAAATAAGCCGAGTCGAATCTCACATGCGCTGCAGTGCTCCCTTCACTAGTAAGAGGTAAATATGATCGGAAATAGTGATATAAATATCTGCGTTTCCCACTTTTATGTACATTTCTCGCATGATTCTTACTGGCATACTAAATTTGATATAAAAATAACGCTCTATTAGAAAAAAATATTCACAACATAATCAATTATTTATATTTTTCTGGCTTATAAACAATGCTAGGCTTTTTATAATGTAGAAAAGGACAACGATAAAATAAGTTTTAAATATGGCAATAAAATATAGGACATTAAAATAGTTTAAAAAGACATTAAAAATAAGTTTTAATATGCGCGTATGAGGGTATTGTAATAAATAGACTTACGTATGAGACAGCAAAAGGCACTTTCCGTTAAAGATACTCTCAAAAGTTTGAAAGAAATAAGAGTGCGATTAGAAAAGATATCATAATTGACGAAAAGCATACAGATCACCAAATCAAAAATTTATTTCGGTCTGATATAATTCAGCATGAATACAACATGAGTGAATTCCAAGCAGAAAATATTCTGAGAATAGATACTGGAGCAAATAAACTACAACCAGTCTTCTAGTGTCAAAAATCGTTCGTATATACGAGTCCACACCGTGACGAAAGTGAAGCACTTGCAATAGCTGGTTCTTCGAATATGGTGTTTTTTGTCTTGCGCGATTGCTGCGTCTATCGGCTGTTAAAAATATTATGCGCCCAAAAGTGTTTTGTGTGAGCGATCATAAATAAAGTGCCCTGGCTGCGATGACCTAGCGTTTCCTATAGCCTCTTCACTTGTGATAAAAAGTGTAACTAGAGAAAGTAACAATGCAATGACTTGTAGCTGACCACATCGAGAGCGAATGTAAAAATGGAGGGAAACTGAATTTTATAATCTGAGTCAACATTGCCGTGTAATATGCTATAAAATAGGCATTGCCAGGATGTGACAAAGAACAGGAAAGAATGGCCATGGCTAATCTGCCAAATTGCTTCAGCTTCAAAGCGGAATCTTCGATGCTGCGAGTCTCAAGATCTTCACATTAGTTTTAGGGATCCGTCTTGTGAGCATAATTTAATTTATATTTGAATATGAAAAGCTTCAAGCAAATTTTTTTTTACGGTAACAAATTCTACTTATCTTTTTAGACGAGTAGAAAAGCTGCATGCAGTCCCGTTAAGTAACGAAGTAATCGAATTGAAAAGAATTTTAGGAAAGTTTAACAGGTAAGCAATTTACTATAAGTAATTTTACACAAATTTGTTTGATAATGATGCACAGTGGCAATATTTTAATCCCGTGCATACTTTGTTAGTTTCAGTGACCAAACTTGAAAATTTACGCATAGTTAAGCTGAGAAAAAGTTTTTGACGGTTTTGTGATCATGCATTTATTCTTGCAATACCTATAATTGAATCAACGTTCAAAAGCTCATGCGTAACTTTAAATACAGAAATTTTCATTTTTTCAGCCGGTAACTTTTACAGGACTTGAAACTTCTGAATACTTTGCAGCTATTTCACTTTTAAAATTAAATATTTTATTGAAGCTTCTAAATGACAAAACAGAATGTAGATTCTTTACTCGGTGTTCAGTGCATAGTTATTACATGAAATAAAAATGGTGGAATAATTTACTAATTATTATTTCGAATAAATGAATAGTAATTAGGAATTCCAAGTAAAATTTCCTAATTCTTATTTCCAAGTGAATAAAGAATGCGGCAAGGCAGCTGTTTGCTGGGCCAAAATGTTTAAATCGTGACAATTCGCTACAGATTTTGGTTGAGCATTCAAACGGAGATTTTAATGAGATTGTCGTAGGATTGAAAGTATAAAATAGTCAGAGCACGATCCGTTCCGGTCGAGTCGTCAAAAAATCAGCCGTAGGATCTCTACACGGGTCACTTGGGTCACAATCCTAGCACTAATAACAGGTATTGCTAGCTGACACTATCCAGGTCAACGTCAGGTACAATTATAGTGAAGCACAAAACAATGATGCTGGATACGAAAAAAATACGCAATTTGTTCTAGTTATTCCTGAAGGTTCATTGAGATACAATATTAATGCTGGTATGATTTTATTCCGGGAGATGAGGTGTACAGCCCGTGTCTTTATTTTTATGTGGTACATTTTTTGTGCTGAAAAAGATCATATTCAATCCCAAGGAAGCGGAATTATCAGTCAAGATGAAGTCAATAATAGACAGTGATGTTTGAAAAAAATGAAGGTTGGAAAGAATTAAAGCTAAAAATTTAAATTTTTATAATTTACAATAATTAAAAAAAAAGGTTGGAAAGAATTAACACAAAAAATTTTAAATTTGTATGAAGTAAATTATTCAAAGACTTAAAATGTGTGATTTATTCAGTAGGAAAGTTTCAGGCTCGCTTAGAACTGCTTCATGTCAGACCTCCATGCCTGACTACAAATCTATTTCATCATCTTTTTTTAGAAGCACGGAAGAACTTAATTTGATGGCTTTTTGATGACTCAGAAGAATTCAATGCATTACAGAGAGCAATCAATAACAATCGGTTCATACAGACCAGATATATTTTTGACCGCAGCCTGCACCATTTCCAAGGGCCCTGACAAACGTACAGGTGCGCACTTCCGACCTCAAGCACGGCGGCGAAATTGAGAGTGAAAGCAAAGTCAACACAGGAGCATTCAAACACAAGGCTGTACAAAAAGAATCATTTTCGGTTTAACTTTAAGGAAAGAAAATTATTCCCTTCTTTAATGATTAAAGGAAATCATTCAATTAGAAAAATAATAATTTTATAGACATTAGTTTTCAAACTTGATAAATTTATCAGACAGTTTTCAAACTCTAGCTTCAACGGAAGTTCAATCAAGTTAAAGTTAAAATTGAACAGAACAAAGTTTAGATAAATATCGAGCGAATTTATAATAGATTAAATTTCCATTGTATTAATTAATTCCAGTTAAATTCAGGTTTTTGATGGATCAATCAAAGTTGCGTGAACTTTAGGCAGAACACGACTGTACAATACAAGTCTCTTTACTTTAATATCATCAGTCAAACGTCAGGCCGGCCTTTATTTTGTTTGTATATATTTATCGTACAGAACTTCCTGCGTCAAAAAAATTAAGTTTAAGCTAATGTGGTCAGAAAAAGGTCAATATTTTTTAATAATAACAATTGAAGAACTCATTCTTGCAGCAAAAAAATAATACTGGAGGAGTCTAGATCTCGCAAGCAGACTAAGCGGCTCAACGCTCAGAATTTACCTTAGGAGTATTTGTGAAAAGAAGACGAAATTGGGCCACTGGAGTATTAAACATTGAAGCTTATATTTATGAGTAAGATTCAATAAAATTTTTATCACACTTCTCTTTACTTCACTTTTTGTTCTTGGTCTGTTTGCTTCAAATCATATAATCGATATTTAACACACTTCTACCTGTCCAATCGATCTGAAATTTTGCCCACTGGCGTAATGTCGAAGACAATGCATGAATTAATTGACAGGATCACCAAATAAGTGGTCAATCAGTGGTAATCAATTAATTATGTTTTGCACGAAGAAAAAATTTATTTCATTCTGAATCGCTATTGAAGTGTGGTATTTAAAAAGTACTTATTAAAAGCATATTATTCATGTTAATCTTATTTAAGTTGCACAAGGTTTCATCCCAGAAAATAATGCTGCGAAATAGAAAATAAAACATATAGTTTGCCGCAATTTTTAATAATAGTCTCTATACAGACAAGATTTATAAGGAATCCAGAGAAAAAACGATTAAATCTATTTATATGCGTTACGAGATCGATTAGCTTTAAATCTATCGTCAATCTTCGACTTTCGCACTTAACAATCAGTTATCATGTTTAATGTTCCACCAGTAATTTTATGATCGATTTCGTTCCACCGAAAGTGACACCAGCGATCATCTGTCGTCTCAGCGACACTTAACTTGGTGAGATCCCCTGTGGGGTAATTTTGACGTGCACTTTTTGCTGCGCGCTCGTCAATAGAATACGCTGAACACGCAGACATTAACTTCCCGCAGCAGCAATAAATAACGCGCTTCCTGTCACCAGCCGAGGGCGGGGCCCTGAAGGCGTTCGTTCCTCATTACCTCAGATCTGAAAGCGTTCCAGCCTCTCCATGAGGTAAGACGGCAAACTGGAATAAATCCCGCCTGCCTCACAAGTTTTTATCATAAGCAAACTGGGTTTTTTCAACGCATGATCAGCAGCGCTCGACCGACCGCCCGATAGTCGACCAACTCGATCGGGCGGGGTGGGTAGTCAAACGATTTAGAAAGGTCGCTAGTTCTGGGCAGGAACTCCATTAGAATGGATATCAATGCCAGTCATGCAGCTTGAGGTCATGGTTTTTTCTACGACGAGGGAAGGGTTGGGGGTCATCCCTATGTGCAGGTTTTCGAAGGGAGGCAGCCGATCGTTGGTTACTACGTGTCGAGGGCAAAAAGTGAGACGCTTATATAAAGACGCGAGAGCACGTGACTTGCTTCACTTCGATTTCGACATCTAGGCAGCAGCATGGCATTCTATGTGAGTGTGTATGAAGTGCTGTTAAAGTGTAGGAGAAGTTCATCCAGCGTGACGCTTCATCCAGAGTGCTTGCTAGTCGTGATACGTAACAGTGTACATGCAATGAGGAAAATTTTTTTATCGTTTAATAAAATGAAGATAACGCTCGATGAATTAATTCAAAATATTTAATTAGAAAAGTAAAAATTACACGCCCAGTTAAGATGTATAATTCTTTATAAAGAACGGTCGAAAAGAGGCGAACAAACTTTGAAAAATCAATCCAATTAATTGCTGATAAACCTGGGTCAGAGACTTTGTTTTGCGATCAATGATTTAAATAAATATCCTGTTCAGAATCTAGTTGCTTCCTTCGAATTGAATATAATGAGGAGCAGGCGAGAAAAACGTTCAAATCAGTATGAATTTAACGTAGTTATTAGGTAACTAGGATGAGAATATTTACTGGAAAAGTAATACAAAAACTTTAAATTTATATTGAATGAAAACAGGTAGCGAGTTTTATGATAAAATAATGGTGAATGCTAAAGCAAATTTAAATAATGAAGAATTCGTTGTGCCAATGTCGGAAAGCAATACTAATTTGATAGGAATTAATCACGAATGAACTACGTGGTTAAATTAATTTCCCAAAAATTAATGTAAAGTAATTTTTGTACGAAATTTGAATCTCAATAAAAATTATTCAACAAGAAAACCTTATTTTTCTAGTTTGTAAGCAGATACTACCGATTAATGTAGTAAAATAAAATTAGTACTGAGGAGACAGTTCTTATTATGTCATTTGTCATTTGTTAGTATGCAAAAAACTTTCATTTTCAAGTTTGAATAACACGAAACTTGGAGAGTGCAAGCGAAGTTGAAAGATTTATGCGAAAATAATTCAAGTTGAATACCTAATAATATTTTCGAACCAATTGGCAAGAAGAAAATTTTTTTTACTATACTTTCCATGGAACAAGTCTAAAAAAATATTCGCAAGTCATATATTACATTTAACGCTTCCGGGAAATTACTGAAATATTTAATCATTGAGCGATGATGCCAGTTAAGTTCAATCAGCAAACTTTATTCACAATTCAGCTTACTGGCTTGACTACTAATCTCATTTTTGTCGTTGCTTTTAATATTTTTTTTTGTTATTGTATAAGATAAAAGCCCTAAGTTTCACTCTCCTAACAGATACAATGAAAATAGTTATGGCTGAAACAATGAATTAAATGAGAATTTTATTATTACATTGATTTTAAATTACTAAATTTTAAAGTACTCCCTCTGAACCTTTGAGTCGACTTTTAACAGGTATTTTTTTTCTCTAAGATCTTCACGATCGCTTCGCTTGCTGCAGTGGTGTCAGCGGGATACCATTCATCTGCCAAGAAAACTTTTGGATCACCCGTCAAATCAGACTTCGGTGGTAGCATTAAATCGCCAGGTTTTGGCGTACCGACAAGCTTTGGTTTTAGCAGCGGTGGTCTCGGAGGCATAGCATCGAAAAGCTTAGACGGTTTCGCAGACTACGACGGCTTCGAGGACGGGTCTGTTTTATCGTCAGGAGGATTTGAGTCAGGATTCCAATCTGGTTTCGAGTCAGGAATAGGTGGAGCGCATAACTTTGGTCCGTGTCCAAAAGGCCTAGAAAGGACCATACACGGTCAATGTGTGCCCCCGGCTGTATCGCAAGACCTCTTCCTATTCAAAGCCCCATCGTACAGAGTTCACCACCAAAAAGCGCATTTTGAACACAAACCTAAAGTTCACTTGAACCTAGTGTTCATCAGAGCACCAACTTACGAAGGCGAGAAAACGAACCCGATTATTGTGCCGCCTCCAAGGCAACAGACTCTCGTATACCTCCTCAGCAAAAAGCCTCACGGATTCAAGCAAGATGTCATCGAAGTTCCTTTCGACCCAACGAAACCAGAAGTCTTCTTTGTTGACTATAAGGACGGCGACAACCCTGTTTTGCCCGGTGGCATTGATCTTAGAACAGCTCTTACCCAGTCTGCTGGTCCATCTGATATCGTGATCGGTGGAGACGGAGGCTTCGGAGGTCTCGGTGGCAAAGTAGGAGGATTTGGTGCGGGTGGCGAAATTCATGGACAGAGTTTGGCAGGAGTATCTCTCGGAGGATCAGAAGGTTTTGCTGATGGCTCTGCAGGAACTAAGTTGTCAGGAGGTGCCTTGGGTGGAGGATTTGGAGGCGGTATCAGCAAAGGCGCTGGATTGTCTGCAGGCGGCTTGGGTGTAGGTGTCGTCGGCAAGGGCGCTGGCTTGTCTGCAGGCGGCTTGGGTGTAGGAGTTGTCGGCAAAGGCGCTGGATTGTCTGCAGGCGGCTTTGGTGGAGGATTTTCCGGTGGGGTTGGCAAGTGCCGGATTGTCTGCAGGCGGCTTTGGTGGAGGATTTTCCGGTGGGGTTGGCAAAGGTGCCGGATTGTCTGCAGGCGGCTTTGGTGGAGGATTTGCCGGCGGGGTGGGCCTAGGTGCCGGATTGTCCGCAGGTGGTTTTGGAGCTGGTGTTGGTAAAGGCGCTGCGGTAGAGGCTGCGGCAGGAGGAGGAGGAGCGGGGCTCGGCTTGGAAGCGTTGGCTCTCAAGGCAGCTGAAGCCGCAGGTCCAGTGGGATTCCATGGAGGTGCGGGTGAAATTACGGGTCCTACAAAAGATTTTGAGAGTGACCTCCGAAAGAGTGTAGCCGCCGGTCATGACCCTTTCGGTGATCACGAAGAAATTATCATTGATCACGGCGTCAAGGGGCTCAGGCCGGGAGGAATTAGTTTCGGCGATGGAAAGGGATCACCCATTTCTCCATTTAGCGGAGGGCTTGGTTCGTCATTCGGTGGCAGTTTCGGAAGAGGATTTAGTGGCGGTGTTGGGGCGAAAGGAAACATTGTTAAGGGCAGTTCAATTAGGTCTGTAAAGGAATTTTAAATTAAGAATGTCGAAAAATCCCATTACCTGCTCAAGCTAACGAAACGATGCAGCTGCTATTTGGTTGCTGTTGATACCCTGAAGTCAAGGCTTTCCTCAACATACCAGAATTTCGTAAGCAAACAATATTTCAATTAAAAGCAGGCAACTGTGTTCCAAACAATGTTCTAGTCACAACCACAGTTTGTGTGCCAAAAATAATTAGATTCATTTCACTGATTAGGAATGCCTCGGAAAATCTTTTCCGGATGGTTAATAATCGCAATAATCATGAAGCGTATACATTTACAATTCAAAACGAAAAATGTACTTCTTAATGTGCAATGCAGTCTAAATTTTGTTATCTTTGCAAAACGTCAAATGAAATTGACAGCTACCATATAATAGCCAAGTCGTTGTGGAAAGTCATGAACAGGGTTAGGTGTACGAATTATTGAGCAGACGTCGATAGCGATTTTGGCGTCCTAGCCTAGTATGTACGTTTCAAATGGTTCATAACGAGTACCTTCCAGGGCCTGTTAGCACCGTTGTTTGCTCGTGCACTTCCCTATTTTCTTCTTTGGCTATAATCTGTTATCTCTGTGTTAAAGTTTCAGTAAAATGTTCCAATATAATGACGATTTTTCTTTACAATAATATACACTCGGTTAAGTTAAAAAAACTTGAATTATAATATTTTGAAGGAGAATTAAAAGTTCTACCTATGCTGGATACAGGTCAGTTGATAGCAATGTGTTTAGTTTGTCAGAAGAGAAACGAAGAACAACTCGGCAATACTCCATAGATTCGCTCACTCCTCTCAGACGATGCTTTTCTGGAAGTTTTGAAAAAAATCCGAACGGGAAATTTTATATTTTTCTGAAAAAGAATTCGTAAATATAAAGATATAGTTTCAGTCAAATTCAATAAATCCAAATGCTTCAATGATGCCATGACACTTTTTGGAGCGGTTCCGAATAGATTAAGCCATAAAATTCCTGCCTCAAATTCAAGATCGTGCTTACATTCATCACTTGAATTTTTACTCATGTTTGCTGAGAGCAAAACAATGAAAAGAAAGTTTCAAATCCTAATCTATATGGTGTCAATTGAATTATTTTCACTTTGGGTGAGGTACGATAGTTTGTTCGGGGCATTTGGTAAAGCATTGAAAAAATCCATAGAGATGAGTTCGATGCCAAATTCCGACAGGAGACACAACTTTGATGTCATTTTATACGCATAAAAATAGGAAATGCCACCACCAAATCATGATGACTTGACTTGATGCTTTGCGCAGATAATGAAGGACCAAGAAAGTATATCCTTGTTCATCCTGATTTTCTCAGTTGCCTACAACAGAAGTAATTTCCGAGCTGAATATGTTTTTTAGGTTCTTAGATATGTTCTGAAACTAGGTATTTGCTCGCAGATTTTTGCAATTCACTCACCTACTTGGGTGTCAAGGACGCGTATGGAAGTGAAAGCAGCATTTCGAGTTTAGGGTCCAACTTGCACAATCTTTAAAGTTCGCAAAAAGTCACATGCATGCCATAAGAGAAGCGGGCTCGCTACCGATGTTACTGATCACCGATTGGTTAGTCTTTCCTTGTAAAAGGCTCCAACAATATTGACATAGGATTTATTTAAACATAAAAAATCGGTTGGGTCAGTACGAAGCCTAGCAGCGAAGAATGAGGAAGCAGATATTTAGGCGCCAGAAAAACTAGGTTTGCCGGCTGGTGATTGCTGCCTGCCCTAAATAGAGCCGCATTAGGTCGCAAAGATGCGACAATTCTCCTTAGATCTGATTTTATCAGCCTGAGCAAGGTTTATAATAAAAAAGGCGCCTGCAGAATAATAAATGGAGGCAAATTTCACATAGGTCACACTGCAATGCCTTGATTGTCAGTCGCAATTTATAAATTAACGAAACCCGTGTTTACCGTCAAGTCTTGGGAGTCCAGCACATTCTCCTCATGATCGCAGAAATCTTTAAAAATTATCGCTACATTGCCTGGGAGTCTCTAATATAAAGATATTAATATGAACGCCCACTTTTGGTCAGTGCCAGCTCAGCATGAGCAACAGGTCTACAGCAGCGGCGCAACAGGTGCAGTATTTCAACGAGTCCAGGCAGCTCGCGACAAGCTCAAGGCAGGCACATGTGCACTGTGTCCCAGCCGGCAATAAACATCGTATATAGCAATGCCGGCCGTGAAGGGAATGTGCGTGCGGTGCTTGAAAGGGCCGGGCTCTGCAGAACAATAATAACGGAGGGCGAAAGGAAAGGCGTTCGCTGCCATGACGAATTATACAAGCATGTATATGGCATTTAAGGCACTCAGAGTCATAAGCTTTTGACTCGGCTATTGTAGGATCACGGTGACGCAATGCGGATTTGTTTTGGTAAATGGAATTGGCCTTAGTAATTAAATACTTAAATTTACGCTTGGTATCGGATTGCAGGTCACACATCGCGATACAGGATTTGATTTTGAATTGCTGTCTCTAAATGAGTTTAGATTTATTTAGAGAGTTTTTCTCTAAGTGCGTCATACTTTAACATGATAGAGAGTAAGGAATTTTTTGATTCTTCACGGATGTAATTTCTGTGAAAAATTATTATGAATGAATCCCTTCATGCACCGCCCAGTCCATTGCTCCATATTAGTGTTATTTTTCCCAAACAATTTAGGTAGATTCCTGGTATCACAATTCCAGGAATTTACAAAAGATTTTAAATTCGAGTTCTTCGTGCACCATGCAGGAAATTCCAGGAAAACTGTTTCGGCCAACAATAAACTTATAAGTTCAAAATTCAGACCACCAAAAATAAATTTTCGGTGAAATTTTAAAGAAAAAAATACTTTGAAAGGAACTTAAAAATTTTAAATCACTTCCACCACTCAAAACTCCGTTATACAAACAAATTTACAGTCAGTGGCAATATTATTTCATGACTGATGAACGCAAGGTTTAAAACTTAGATGCAAATTCGTGGAAATTACTTAACTAAATCATCCGACCCAAAAGTAAATACACTGCAATTAAATAATTCATTCCTAATCGGATGGCTGCAAAAATAAATTCGAAGAATGTACAAAAAGAAACATGAAGAATTCAAAGAAGAATTCAGATACAAGTTATTTTTGCACACAATGAGTAATAAAACTAATAATATTTTACGTAATACTAACACAATGAGTACCGTAATACTATACGTGTGGGCTGCTTTCTATTGTCCTCTTTACACTCTAATCATCTAATGCATGATAAACCTCAAAAGCAATTGCCAACAAAACTATACTTACTGAATAGGATGTATAGATATTTATAAAAGTTGTTCGCTTAAATCATAAAATTTGAAGAATTTCAGAAGAAAGAAAATGCCAATCATTCCGGAGGCTGATGCAAAAATGTTTAAAATCACTTGAGGACACTGGGAAATATATGATAAGGGTGCATGCTAATGCGAGGTTTGCGTCATTTCAGTTCAGGCGTAGATATGAAAAAATGTAACTCAGTACTCACTGCAGTGAGTGACAGAGAGCGCATTTTCTCGTCGACGAAAACGTGAAGTCATGGACAGACAGACAGACGAACAGACAGATAGACGGACAGACAGACGGACGGACAGAAAGACAAACAGACGGACGGACATGACGAGCACAATAGCGCCTTTTCCCATAAATGAGAAAATGCGCTAAAAAGTGCAATAAACATGCCGTGAAGGTCGGCAAAGAAGATTAAAATGGTAGCTGTAATTTACCTGCAGGGTTAAGTACAGAATTTAAATGAGTGTATATGAATTAGCTACATGGCACGCATGAATAACTATAGGAGATTAAATCGCATAGTCATGCATTAAATGGGCATACATATGATGATGGATTTTTTTATTGTCTTTTTTATACTACCCAATGTTGCCATTAGTGTTAGAAGGATCAAGAACAAATTCATAATTGTATACTTTGATCAATGAGATTTAATGATTAAGTTTTCCCATCGCCGAGATTGCAATTATTTTTAGAGGATATTTTCTCCACATCATTGCATTGAAACCTATGCTTATTAGGTCAAGTGTGACGTGAAAACTTCTAGTTTTTGTGCAACTCGAAAAAACTTGGGGTAGGTGAGTTAGTGCAGAGTGGTTGTGAAAGGCACACGCGTCGAAGTGACCGTTCAGCACATGATTTACATGCAAACAATGGAAATAAATAGGAACGTTTAAAAAGGCTGGATGTTCTAAATAACAAATTGTTTGCATCACCTGGTTAAAACCGGAGTCAAACAGCAAGAGGAAATTACTAATGTATACTTTATCTTTATATATCTTTACTATAATTACACTTTATATATTAATAAAACGTCAAAGAGAAGATGTAAAGACCATTTGTGGTAACTTTGTACGACTGCGTTGCTTCTAACATTTGGTTTCTGAGTCTTATTTTGGCCGTGAATTCACTTACAATAAATTTCACCATTGAAATAACAGCGCGCAAATTTAAATTTCTAATTTTGTGGTGGTTTTGACTGATTTTAATGTAATAAGTCAACCAATGAAATAATATACGAATAATTGGATAAAATAATAAACAATATATAAGCAAGTACTTATTATTTGAACAAATAAATCAATTACGTTGATTTAAATTAACGAAGATTGCATTAATCAAA